TTTTAAGGAGTTGATCCTTGGCTGTCAACTAATGCGTATATGATGCATGACACAGGTAAATGGAAAGATCTCAACTTAAAGTTTGTTCTGGCTAGCTTTCGGGACTACATGTGCCTGCTTAATAAGGACAAAAAGTAAATCTGTCTTTGAACTCTTACGAATTTCAGTAATAGTGAAGGCTCTTTGGTGAATAAGCTGCCGTTCGTTTCTATTCATCATCAACTGCAAGCTACGTGGAAGTTTTTTAGGTTTCTTAAAGCTGTATTCCCCGGTATAAAAAATTTAATTGATGAAGCTATAAAAAATTGGGATAGAGACGGCGATGGAATGATAGAGAATTTTGGAGTTGCGGATCAGACTTATGATGCTTGGAGAATGGCGGGTGTTAGGTAACGTTTCAGGCGCTTGAACAACATAGTAAGCTTCACTTTTTCTATTCCCTTCGTTCCTAACACGATGTCTTTTTCAGACTAGCCAAAACTAGCACACAGAATGAACTAGCAATATAAAAAGCTCGATATTTATCTTCCATAATGAGAATATAACATCAAAAAATCTGGATTCCATCTAGTTAAAAACTTTATATCCACTGAATCATTTGAACAGGGGTGCAGGTCATATAAACTAGTTTTGCGCAGCTAAAATAAACTCATTGCTGCTTCTAAGCTCAAGTTCTGGCAGATGTGAGCAGGAAGTTGCTACAGAGTGTTGTAATCATTTTTCTCAAGTCCCCCTCTGAGGCTCACAAAAGGAATTATTGTTACGAATTTCTTTTCAATATGCGCAGGCAGTCAACTTCTTTGCGTTTTTCTTCCTAAGATGTGAGAGTAACCAGTCTTTTCACCTTCCGGTGTCTGAGGCACGAAAACAAGAGGAATTTTATACTCTAACCGTTGCCTGTGCCATATATTAGTACCTTTGGTACAAAAATATCAAGCTTCTTTATTTTTTATTTTTTAATCAAAAAAACTAAACTTTCCTAAATTAATTTCGTGGTGGAAAAAAATCGCAAAACTTAAAGCCTTACCCTTTACCCAAA